GAAAAAAACCTGAACAACCTGCAATCGCTTCAGGTTGCTATTGCAGAAGTGAGTGTGCCCCTTGCCATGAAGAGTGGCCCTTGCTCATGACCCAACTGCATCTTCCCCGCAAAACAGGTCCGTGCCATAATTTCCACGCCGAAGAAACGCATCGTTGACCCACACCTCACATTCTGCAAACTCAATCTTAACCCGCTCCCGACACATGCAGCAAGTTCGGCTGTGTGTAATGTGGGTTTGGTCTTTGAGGCACCCGTAAAAGGGTGGCTTTCCGAAGTCCTTTCAAAAACCGCATCACAGGGCTCTGAAGACATGTTTGAAGTGGTTCACATGTTGTTTCTAGCGCCACCATTGTTGAGCTTTAAATGGAAGGGTTTGGAAACCTGCACCAGTCCACGCTGAAGCAAATACTCCTTGTCTCGCCCGGCTTTTTCAGGGTCAATTTCTTCCTCATAAGTGGGCGTTACTCGTGATCAATTCTTGCTACTTCTTCACAAATGCATTGAGGCAGGCGTTCAAGCGGTATGTGCCTTGACTTTGCCAATCCCCTTCCGTTCCCACGGGATGTCAAGCTGAGCGTGGTTGAGGCAACAAGCGCGTGGAAAACGAAGCTTCCGGGCTATGGTTGTGTTTAATCCGGAAGCTTCCGCCAGGCCCACTTTGATACATTGAAATCTTTGAATACGAAGAGCTTTGTGGAATACGTTAGTAGTGCAGTCCTTTGGGAGTCGGACATGGCTACTTAGTCCTTTCGAAAGGGAAATGCAATTGCTTGCTCTGGTTTTCTGCTTTTCCTTTGTATTTGTCATTTTCGCCGTTGCTTTGCCTGTTTTTGCTTTTTGTTTCGCCTTTTTTCTGTTTCGGGGTTTTTTCCGCCACGGACAGTCCGTGGCAGAACTTAGTGGCAGAAGTCAGTTTGTGGCACAACTTTCGTGGCAGAACTTCTTGGCGGCATGCGCCGCGAAAAGTTATGCCACGGATAACCCCAAGGTACGCGCGAGCCATTCGACCAAGAACGCTTTGTTCTGCAACATGGTACGGGATGGCGGCTGTGCATCAACATTCAGGAGGTTGCTTGTCAGGACTGCCTTGATAAGCTCGTCTGTTTTGGCCGAATGTTTGGTAGGCGATTGCGTGGCAATCTTCACTTCGCACAGCATGCAAGGTCATGCATCTGTCCGCTATTGCTTTCCTTCCGCGACGTTTGTGTCAAACACATTGTTTCTTTCTTTTCCGGCTGGTGTGTTTGCGTCGGTACCGATGTGAACTTCCGCAATTTCATCTGTAATGTCTGACCAGAGACCGCGAAGAACAAGTGATGAACCGTAACAACGCATCATTCCGTGCAATTCAGCAATAGTGGTGATCCCATTGTTGTAGCGGTGATCTGATGTGTCTCATAATCGATCAGAGAACCTCTCGAATTCGATGAACCTTTACGAAGATCTCACTCTTCGGCAAGAAAGATAGCATGCGCGCGTAGGGATGACTTGTCCTCGTTGTTGCGAAAAAGGTTGCGCCATGGTAGCCGACTGTGCGGGTCTTGCCGCGGAGTTGCCAGAATCTCATGCCAAGCGGGATGCTTTTGACGGCTCTGATTGGTTGGTGGCGCGAACGTCCGCAATGATTGGCGATGCTGCTCTGGACGCGCGTCGTGAAAATTGATAACCGATGTGGACTTGTGTCCGCGATTATAACCCATTGATCTGACCTAGGAAGCTTCTGTATGCAGTATGCATCTGAGGTGTTGATAGAGTGTCGTCTTTGGAGTCCTTGTCAGGGGTGATCTCGTAAAGTTCGTCAATGGCCACATTCTGATGGGCATTGATGTACCAACCGTGCTTGTCCTCATGCTTGCATTGGGTGCGTTGTCCTACGAGAAGGCAACTGTTCTTGTCTTCGACATCAACTGGAAAGCTTTGCGGAGTCGCCCCATGATTTCCTTTGCAAACACATCGCCACCGGTCATAAGAAGATCATGTACATGAAGAGAAAGCGCTCCATGAACTTGTCGATTCTGGGTATTGTTACCGGAGACCGCGTCCATGAGGCAATCAACTGCACTAAGTCGAATACATTTGATGATTTCTTTTCATCGGCGTGGATTTCGGAAGATAAGATGTTTAACATAGTACACGTATGTACATCGGTCTGCTCGTGCTGGCACGAGTCCATCGGATCGTAGCGCCGAGTTCAAGGATGTTACACCACCTGCGTGAGCAGTGCCCTGATGTATGGCGGATATCCCATTTCAGGAGGGATCTGACAAATGATGTCACGATTTTGATCGTACGCCTCTCCTGCATCCAGCCTTTGATTCGAGGAAGGCAGTTTCTATATCCATGTGAAAGATGTTCCAGCCTTTGTTTGCGGCTGCTTGTGTTGCCAGGCAGAAACCACTCCTGGATGCAGCAGAACTGTCTGTTTGCTGTTCGTCCTTTTGCTGTCTTGGAGTCCTCGGAGGACCCAGCGAGCCTTGGTCTTCAGGAAGTTACCGTCCTTGTCTCGCTTTAAGGTAAGGACCCAACGACCGGTGACCCACTTCCTGACCTTGATCGTGCGTAGACTAAGTCGAACACTTCATTGTCAAGCCTAGCTTTGCACTCCAGAAGCTTTGCTTCAAGGAATTGCTCTTGATAAGCTCTCGTCTCAGTAGCTGTTACTTCTTTCCGCTTCTTGCCAATGAGTGCGGATGTCGTGGAAGCCTTTAAGGATTCTTGCTTGGGTGAGAAGACTAAGGCTTTCACTCCCCTGCTCGGAAGCCAACCGGCCGAGTGTTGGCTTAAGCCAGATTGATTGTTCTCAGCCACCGATATCTGCCTCCTAGAGACATCTCGGTGTCTGCTTTGAAGGTACCCCCCTTTTTGGGAATTTCCAAAGGGAAGCCCAAGGGACACCGCCCATGACAAATTTATATCAGCGAACATCAGTTGTCAAATGGCTGCTGGTCAACAAACTGACCGCAAGTTTGCTTTTGTCTTCCCTTGAAAGAGGATCCAAGAGAAGGACCCCAAGAATCTTGATCATGCCGCACCCTGGGTGTGATGCGCCTGTTTTCGCACGCGATTTCGATCCGCGGCTGAGCCAAAATCCGCAGCTCCGCACAAATCGGACAGGGACGTCTCCGAAAACTGGAAAGGCCGTGTACTTGCTCTGAAAGCAATGGGAAAGTAATCTGCCAACGTGTCAAATCATGTTGATGCGGTGATGGTAGATGCTGAGCAGGAACATGAGTTGGGCAAAAACCCTGGATGGCGCGAATCCCTGTATGCCTGCGATCCCGCAAGTGAAGGGGCTGAAAAGAACCAAATCGAGCGTCTGCGTTCACTTAATCTAGATGGCACCATATTTGGCAACATCGCGGTCTGCTCGTCAGCTTTTTCTGCTTTGATGTTTGCTCCAAGGTGTTGTTTGCCAGCATTTCTGGACCAGCCAATTGAAGAACCGTGAAGAAAACCTGTCTGAATTCTATTTTCGTGCCCCTGTTCGGAGGCGCCCCTCCGGCGAGGGTCCCGGGGAGTTCCGACGGCCAGAATGCAGCCTCGGGAGCCCTGGAGTGGGTCGGGAGCAAATCTCCTCATTTTCCCACCGAGTACCTGGCGGCACGAAGCAAGCCGCTCACAACAAACATCTTACGAGTCAAACTGAAGCTACCTAAACAAAATATTTGGTGTCTTAATCCAACTTGTCTTCGGGCTTGAAGCCCAAATGTGGGCCAAAGACAGCGTGTCGACTGGCCACCTTCCTGAAGACGTGTGTCCCAGCCTAGAAATTCCATGGCCTAACCTGCGGGAAAGCGTTTCCATGGATCGATGGACCCGGTAAACCTTTGGCCGTGCTCACCCATCATGTTGTCTTAGTCGACGTTGGAAGGGGAGCAACAATTTACATTTTAGCAGTTAAGTGGGGATTTCCCACTAAACCACAAAAAGCAAAAATGTAGAATGTTTCCCAACCACAACCATGTTGTGCCTGCATCATAACTCACATTCTCCAATCAGGGCTCGCAATGCCAGGTGAAGAACGCCAACTCGCTGCTTCAAACACACGCCAATGGGGAACTGCACGCCTGCCAAAACACTAAGCAACATAGAACCCGCAAGCCGTGATTATAGACATAAATCTCCCAATTCCTTTCCTATGCTATGTGAGGAAGGTGTAACCAACGTGTAGGTTGTCAGAACGTGGCCGTGCCCAAACCCGCCCAGCCCTTTCTTCTTGGTGCTAGTCAAAGCCTCCAACTTTGACCCAGTCTCGCTTAACAGGGCACAAAATCTGTAATTAGCTTGTTCTGGCTATTTCTATCGACCCGTAGCTTGAGAACGGCAGCGGGTCCTAGCAAGGGGGGCAAAGGGGACCATGGAACGACTCCCGTTGCCGTCCGGGCACGATCTTCCGCCAGGATTGTGGATGGGCTGCGGTGTGGGCGAAGTGACGGCCCACTCGTACCAAACCTGGCAGGCTGATGGGAAATACATTTCGGCCCTTTGTGGGTATCAGAAAGGTTCAACCAAGGAAGCCAGCCCGCCCACAAAAGGATGGTATCAGCAAGGTCTTATTCCAAGGGAAGCCGATAGGACAAATAAACCGGCCTAGCAACTCAACACAAACAAGTAGAGAGCACGTTACTGCAACAACTGATAGACGCGGAGGCTTCGGGGTCATCTCTTCTCTCTGAGTTGCCAACCCCCGTTGCATCGCTCCTTTTTGCCCACCGCTGGGTCTGTCCCAGGAAAACTGCCAAGCAAATGGGTCTTACGGCACACACGTGCCTCCCAATGGCACCAGTGGACTGCTTTGCATCACCTCACGCAAGCGCGAAACGCCTTGCTGCTGACTGCTGGCTGCATTCGTCCCAAACAGCAAACATGATGCTTGGTGACTTGTCTGGAAAGTCTGATTTGATTAAACCAAGCTATCCATGCTTCACAGCGGCGGTTTTGTGCAAGCGCATGGGTGGACCGGGTGGCTTTGCACCGGCAAAACGCCAGTTCAACCCCTCACATGGCTTGGAAGCCGTCGCCCACATAGTCCTCCAGGGCGCATCACACGCAAACCCACACCCACAAGCACAACCGAGCAGCTGTCTGCTGTATCCACACTGTTTCATTCGGGCAAATGTCAAAACTCCATGCGAAATTGATTTTGGGCCCTGATTTGCGTAGAGAGCAGGCGAGATTCCTCCCATCAAGGCCAATTTTGATGCTCCTTCCTTCCCTAGAAAGAATTGATACCTCAAGGTCAATGCTATCGCTACTTCCTTGCCAAAAAACATACTTGAGTTCGAACTCATGGCTCATGTCTCCCTGGACTGTGTCTTGGCTCCCCTCAGAGGCACACCCAAAGCACACTTGTTCGTAGGCACTACAGGTTGCCAGGTTGCTGTAGCTGGATTGATAGCAAAGGTTCGAACTGCCTAAAACTATAGCATCTGCAAATTCCGACTTAAGTCCAACAGCTGAATTCAGGGATCCCCAAATAGCGGAGCTTTCTCCTGGCTTTCGCACGGTTTATCCCCGGATCCCGTGAGCTTGCCATAAACTAGGCAGAGACCCAAGAACTCGAGCCCAGCCGCTCCATGTAGCCGAGGTTGAATCGGTCGTCGCCCTGGTCTTCCTTTGCCTGCCTCAGACGCAGCAGCACTTTCTGTGGGACCCTCTTTACACGGACCCCCCCGCCCTGAACAGTGGAACCAGTCAGCTGGACCCTCTTTAGTGAAATCCTATGAGGGTCTGGAAAAACAGTACTTACTTTAGTACTGCGTACTGCCAATTCTACTTTGGTATTGCCAAAGCTCCCTCTCAGATTTCCAGTACTTACTTTAGCATTGCCAAGGCCCCCTCTCAGATTCCCAGTACTTACTTTAGTATTGCCAATTCTACTTTGGTATTGCCAAGGACCGTTTCTCCAGCAACCCCCAAAACCAGTTGGACACTAAAAGAGGACCCCAAGACAGTCACATTGAAGAGGATCTGGGCCTCTTGTGGGCACCCCCCCTTTGTGTGACTGTTTGCCCGCACTTTTTGTGTAAAGAAGTTATCTTAAATTTGATGGTTTGGGGATCACTTCAAGAAAATGGTTTGCCAATGTTTGCCAGGATTTGTTTGCCAGTCTTTTTGCCCGACTTGTTTGCCAAGTTGTTTTGCCCATATTTTTTCCAGCGTTGTTTCCGGCAAAAAAACTTCCACCATAGAGGACCTCCAAAACAGTCACAGGATCCTGAAATAGAAAAAAGCTTCTACAATAGAGGGTACTATTTACCAAAGGAGGTCTAACATTATCAGGCATGGCAAAGACATCCTCGTGCAGGAAATGAGACGGTCAAAATCTCATTTCCCAGTCGGGAGGAAAAACCAGCCTGGCCACATCGAGCAGGTAAAGACGTGTCGATTTGGCCCAAAGCGCCAGCGTTTGGCCCATTTCAAAAGTTGCTCTGCTAAGGCGACACAACAAGTCGCAGCGTCAGCAGTGACCAATGGATCGAACAAACAAAGCATGGACCAGCCACGAAGTGACAAATGAGAGGGGGAGGCTCATGAGCGGGGGGCATCTTGTCCAAGTCTTGACACTTTGGCTGAAACCTTCATTTTGATCGTCTCATCCGACCTGCGTCAACCAAGAAGTTTTTTAAAGTCCAAAGATCCGTTACATGGCCATGAAGCTTTATGGGACCCCCAAAAGGGCTTTTGATTTTCCTTGTGGTCTCCTCCCTGAAACTCTTTGGCAAGTGCTCAGACAGCGCCACGCGTCGCTGACCCTTCCGGGCTCCGGGGCGCATCTGCAATGGTGAGCCCTTGCCCGTGGCACCTCGGGGCTCGAGGGCTCGGCTCAGTTCAGCTTCCCTCCAGCTGCTGAGCCCGGAGGTTTGGTAGGAGGGTTTCCCACACCACGCATGGAAGGGGTGCAAATCCCAAACCAATCCAAACCACCAAGGGTTACCTAAGTTGAGAGGCTGGGCCCACGAACAAATTGGTGAAGCGAAGCTTTGGGGGCCATGCCTCATGGACCAAGAAAAAAGCTAAAAGGTCAAAAAGCTTGATTCGCGTTGGGCAAGTGAAACTTTACATTTACAGCGAAGCAAAGCGCTTAACTCCTTGGCTTGCAGGCGAGACTGTGATAAACGTTGTCCGAAAGAAAAACAACTGGCATGAAAACCTAGTCAGCTGTGGATGGACAATCACCTGCACGAGTGGGTAGGTGACTTATCTCCATCCCAATTGGTGTCAAGCCGTCTCCCCGCCCCGCTGCACTCACATTAACGTCCCACGCCGCATCTCGAGACCCAAAAAAAACCGAGAGAAGTCCACTTTGCCCCAATCGAGCGCCGACAAAACCTCGCCGGCTTCTAGTCCAATGGTTGAGCCCTGCCTTGCCATAGCCCCCATTCCAGGCAGACCCCGGCTTCCAAATCGAACGGCTCGCTCTGAGCCGCAGGCTCCAGATTCTGGGCTGAGAGAAAGGCCTGGCCGACTCGGCACTCGGCGCTCGGCACGAAACCGGCGCGCGGAGCCCCGCGGACAGCCAACCCCGGGGCCATCACCTCCCAGCAACGCGGGCACAGGATCCAGGCCAGGAGGGATGAAGGGGAAGGAGCGCGAAAATGGAAGTACTGCCATTCGTGTGCATCCAACGGGTCAATTGTCAAAGTTGACCCGCCTTCATAAGCGAGGTTCGTTTTACCCTCCCCCCGCTCCCTCCCTGCGGTCAAGTTGTTGAATCGCTGTCAAGGCTCAAAGTGTACAGGCATACAAGATAGACACCGAATAAGAATCAGAATATGGCGGCTGCCACAAATCCAGTTTCAAGCATGCCGGAGGTACATTCACCACGATCCGCTCAACGGCGTCGGTTTTCCAGGTCCTGGCACGGAAACGGCCAAACAATGCACTGCACACTGTGGGGCACTACCCTGGATCCTGAAGGGATGCACCCTGAAGGACCCTCTTCCTAGGAGCCTTCCATGAAGTTGCATGTGTTTTAATGGCGTGTAGCGTGGACGACGGGCAGTTGCTCTTTTCAGCGAAAGGGTCTCTGCACACGGCCTTCACACCCAACGCGCAAAGTTCGGATCCTTCCTGGGATCAGTGCCCTACAAACGGGAATCTTTCGGCCTTCTTTTGGGGTGCTAGAGCGCGGACTTGCACGAACCGTGGCAGAGTTCATCGTCTTCTTACCCGCTTTAAAACTGCGAACCAAGTTGCAACCAGCGACACGTTGGTGAAATCTGTGCTTGTCCTGGTCCGAAGATTCTCAGCACATGCCTTGTCCCTCAAAAAAAACACCATGCCCTTTGCTTCCCTGAAAACCACGCATTCCTTTTGTTTCGAACCCACCGCGGGTCACCTTCTTGAACACCACCCCTCGCGTTTTCGCCGGCTTCCCCCGTTCGCGCGCGAGTCCTCTTGGCGGCATCTGCAGGCGCGATGAGCGGCCGTTTCGCCCGGCCTTCCTCGCCCTTCGCAAGCCTAGACGCCACGAAAGGGGATCCGGGGCTGCGATGAGTTGCGCATGACCCCGGAGTGATGAACCCCTGTTTAATAAAAGTTTTGGGTCCCGGTGGCCCTGGGGATAGTGGGGAGTCAGACCACTTTTGGAGGGGGGGACCCCCAGATTAATCAACTGGGGTTGATTTTCATCCGGGGTCAACAGATGGAAACCAGGGAAGCCAAGGGGATGTACTTCCACCCTTGTGGATCTGAAAATTGAATCCGAAATCTGCAAGATTCCGCTGCAAGAGAAACCACTACCTGGAGGATCAAGGATTTTCAGGAAGGTAAGCAGGTTGCAAAACTAATCAGCCCCTGTCCCGCTCATGGTAAAAAGCTGGTTGCTTCAGGACAAACATATCCTAGGGTGTGGTACCCGTTAGAGAACCATTGGTTCACACTGCACACCTTCGCAGCCAAAGGTCAAGCAAGTTCGGCTTTGGGCAAGTGAGACTCAAGTGAACACATGAACTTTAAAGAATATTTGCTCATGTCCTAGGAGGACATGGACAAGTTGGGTGGCATCCTAGGTTGAGGAACAACAAACTCCTGGTTTGCTAGCCACGTCGATTGCCGAAATCATGAATGAATGACATGTGCACTCGGTCGAGCGTGAAACAAACTTCTAAATTCGTGAAGGCCTGCCAGCCTTTCATAACGTGAGTATGTCTTAAAATGGGTTAACCTCCTAGAATGGGTGTCTCGATGTGGTTTCCTCAAGATAACCCCAAGACGGGCTCACGCTGCCATACCTATAGCTGAAACAAGATGAACGTCCTCCAAGGATATGTGGATCCCTTGATCACAACTCCCTGGGTCATGGCTCAGAGAAAATATTCGCGGTCGAAAGTCTCTAAGACAGGGCTGTGGGGAATGGAATCCACTTCCTGTGATACAATAGCAAGGGCTTCCCAAAGACTAATTTGGTCATAGAAACAAAGATTCCCTTGTATCACAGAAGTGGTTGGATAAACCCCGAGTGATCCCATAACCCTGCTCTAAGAGGTTCATGACCATCCCTGCTTTGCCCAAGCAAAGGGGGCCTTTCAGTTCGCCTGTGTGCCCTCTCTCTCCTGGCCTTAGCTCCCGCCGCAGCTTCTTGATCTCGGAACCTAGCGGACCCAACCCTGAGACATATTGATTGCGGGGTGTCTCTTGTCTCCCTTGTTCTGTTTATATCAATCTTTGGGGCGTCCAAGAACAAACAAACGGCTGCCTTGGGTGATAAGTAGCCCTTTCAATTGCCAAGAGGATATGCAGGTAGACCTGTTCAGCCAAAGACAGTCCAAAGTGAAATGCTTGACAGGGTTGGACGACTGAAAAATCACAGCCATCCTCACCTCCAGTTCGCCGCGTGGGAACAGCAGGCAAAAAAAACGCTCCAACATTTCTCAGCTCAAGCGCGATCTGTTGAACGACGAAACGTTAGAGTTGCGGAATCCTTCATGTGAACGGTGCTCCTTAGACACCCAAAAGTGGCCCTGAGAAACGGCGCACGAAGCACGAAACACGAAGAGCCCTTCGAACTCCTGAAAACCGTTTGGCCGGGACCCGGCAGTGTGCATTCTGACACATTCGAATGAGGCAAACTCCTGGCATGCCGGGAGCCCTTTGAGGAACTTGGACTCAGTTGCTTTCTGCTCCCCTGCAACAAGTTTAACCTTTAGTGGTTTAATGGAAACCCATTAGTTGGCAAAAGGTAAAGTCCTAACATCCAAGCAAAATGCACCAAAGTGGACAGTGAATGGAAATGACCCTTCAACGCAAAACAAGGTTGCGTCGCATGGCATCTCTCGAATGCGCAGCCTGCTCACCGCATCCAACAAGTTCGACAAACCGGTACACATGTCTCCCTGATGCACCTTCATCTAGCGGACCCAGCACGTCTGTCGCCTCAGCTGGGCCACTTTCAGTCAAACAGGGTGTGCCCTGTTTACACCTTGACCAAACAGGGGAGGGTTGGGCTTTCTCCGCAAACGTGGTTGGAACCGCCCTTCGATTCGTTGGATACAACTCGAAGCCAAGGAATCAACGGCAGCCACGCGTTGTAACCGTCCTCGGCATGTTTTTCTCCATACAACAAGCATGGAGGCCCCGTTCTTCCGCCACTACACGCATCATGTTGAGCGCAGCGCTGAGTGCCAGCTGCTTGAATCATGACGATCCCAAGTCAGAGTGGAAGTTTGATCTGCCAGGTGTGCTGGGAATGTCACATGGGGGCTCATATTTTTCGAGGGTACCCGCGTGCTGAAGGGAGGGGGTGTTGGAGGAAAGCCAATGAAGGAAAACCGCAGCCGTTTTGAGGGGCTCACGAAGAAAAGACGAAGCACCCATATTCTCTGACCTCCCAACTTGCTGAGCCTCACAAGGGCCTTTTTGGAGGGGATGGGATCGATGTTCGATCCCACCCCCGGTCATCTGCCATCTGCTTTGGAACCGAAAACAAGCCGCCAAGAATTCACCTCCCAGAGTGTTCCCACATATGGACCCGTTATTCCCAAGGCAGGGCAACGTGCAGGCCAAACTGGGCCAGCCTGTCCTCTGAACAAATAGACGGCACTGGTGGATAAATAACCAGATTGATTGAAACCATTGGAACCCGAATACTTCTGGTCCTTCTATTTGGCCATGATCCGCGTTCCCCCCCAAGTGGTGCCCCGCTTTCTTTGATCATCCCCAGAAGCAGTCAAAAAGTGAGCCCTATGTTCCACCACACTGACCCCAAAAAACGGGGACACCTAGAACCTCCCACTTCAGCTCAACCGAGCCCCTCGGCCCATCTCAGCTCGTGGTTCGCGAGGCCCGACCTGCGAGGCACGTCAAGCATGGCACACATGGGCGCTCCGACTGGCGCAACGCAACGCTTTCCTTCCACCTGGGTTTGTCTTATTTACGTAGGGGGGCTCTTCAAATGATAGGCCAACCCAAGGCTGGGCAAGGCTGGGGTTTGCCGCCATGCTGTGTTTCAAACGTAAGGACCATTGATGACCCGGACCAACACGCGGTTACCTCCATTTGGAGCCACCCCAAGTGCTGATGCGGACTTTAAATGGACATCCCCCAAAAAAGGAGAGAAAGGGCACCAACGAGTGTCTGCTGGGTATCTTAGGACTATGAGTCACAGTATTCATTGTGGTTTTCAAGGACGTTGGATTTCGGTGAGCCCCCAGTCCTACTAGTACCTTTGGGGCTCGCGTGCGGTGTCTCTTTGTTTCAGGTTGCGAAACCCAAAGGAAACCAACCATATTTTAGGGGCTCCACATTTTTCCTACGTTCAGACACGCCCTCCCTTTGCTTCGCCTCATTCGGCCAAACCCGGCCAGAAAAAAACCCGAAGCCCTAGACAAAACCCCTCCCCGGGTGCCCGGCAGGCCCTGCTGCAGCTTCGCGCGGCCCCGCAGCGCCAGGACCTGCCAGATTTGCGATGGCGAGCGGGGCGGCAAAATTTGCTGCAAATGGACCTGCCTCAAGGGCCAGGGGAGATGCCGCCCAATTCCATGCACGCCATGCTCCCCACAAAAGGGAAAAGGTGTTCAAAGCGAACAAGGTATGTCTTCAAACAGGGGACTCCCCACCCCCCAACAAAGAAAAGCTCTCCCCGCAAAAAATGGTGGGCTTCACCCAAACATCGTAGTTCATCCAACCTTCGAAAGAAGCCGTTTCCCTGAACCATACCTGGAGATCTCCAGGGTTCACCCCAAGGAACTCGGGAGGGCGTTTCGGGTACTCAGTTCAGTTATGAGGAGAAACTCATGGTCAGTAGAATGAGTGTGAGGTCCGTTCAAACCAAACTCGGTCGTGGCCATGAGAAGCAATCTTATGGAAAACGTTCGGGGGTCCCTTTAACCCCCTGAACGTCAGCTTCCAAGTCAATTGGAGGGAGGGTAAGTAGCTTTTGTGTGTTTCAGGTATGTTCAAAACCCAAATCCAGTCCTGATTCTATGGAAGCAAACCACTAGTAATGATTTGGCCCGTTATGTTGAGCAAACACGATTGGTCAACCTTCAACCCTAAACATACCCTCCAAAAATGGAGCCTGCACAGGATCCGTCAAGCGGTCCTCGCACAAGTTTGGTGGGAGATGTGGGAGGGTAGCATGTCAATCCTTTCTTTGCGAATACTTTCAGCCGGCAGAAATAAAAGTTGGTTCCAAACGAGCCAAAATCCGTCGGAGCAGAAGGCAAACATTTTTTCTTCGGTCAAAACCAAAAACAATCAGGTCCGCTTTGATCCCCTGCCTGCAGGAAAGCAAAAGGAGGCTTACACAATGGTGTAAACCATGGGTGAAAGACTGGCGTTGCGAATAGAAACCCTGCAAAACAAAAGGTGATGCAGCTCACTTCCAGCATTCGGGTCTTCTGCAAAACGTAGGCTAACAAACGAGCCCTCACACAACACACACACACACACACGCACACGCACGCGCACACACCCAATTCCTGACCATTGGAAGTGTGCCTTCCGGTTCCTGTCGCCTCCCTGCCTGTGCCATGTTGGCATCCGCTGCCGCGCGCTTGGCGCGCTGCTGGCAGACGTAATCCTCCGTCGACGACACTGACCGAATCGAAGAGAAGTCAGGCAAACGCCAGCAATGTGGCTGTGGTTGTCAAAAATGGGTAATTACCCAAAATCGCTTGCCCTGGTAAATGGAACCCAGGATTAAAACCTGGGGTCTCCTGGTGGTTTGATTTTGACCGACACCTATGTGAATCACGCGGTGTAGTTCTGGCCAGCCTTGTTATGGATCAGACTATTTGACACGATCATGAGATCGGCATGTGCACGGGACCCTGTGGATTCCTTTGTGGCCGTCAATTAAATCAGCCCAAAAAGGGACCGTCAAAAAACACGCGCACACATACACGCACACCACGCACACCACACACACCACACGTGCCACACCACACACACACACTGTTTAGTTTTGTCTCGACTTGTTGCCTGTAGAACATGAGCTGCGCCCCCATGATACTATGGGCAAGCTTTGCAAACAAGCGTATCAACTTGAACGTGTTTCAGCTTGACTGGGAGGTGTGACCGCAGCAACCGGCAAACTCCTTGCGTTTGCTTGAGGATGTCATTGGCAAGGTATCATGCTTGTAGACGCATGTTCCGAAGATTGCTGTGCAACTAACGAACTAAAATACAAACAAAGGCAAGCTTGATTTCGCAACTTGCGAAGAATGACAGTTTTACCTGCCCCTTGAATTTGAAGAATGCTAAAATCGGTGCAACCCTCGGAATCCGTCTGACCCTTGCCACCCTTCGCACCTCTTTCCACCGCGCAAGGAGCTAGGGCTTCGACCCAAAGAAAGGCCGCGCAGCAAAGCACGGTGCCAACCTCCAAGCGCCACGTGCCACGCGTCGAGAGCCGTGGGGTGCTTTACTCACGCCCTGCGTGGATTGGCCAAAGGCTCCCAAACTTTTGATTTACCGCTGTCTTGGTTGACGTTGGAAGGGGAGCACAAAAATAAATCTTAGCAGTTAAGAGGGGACTTCCCACTAAACCACAATAAGCATAAAATTGTAAAAATGTTTTCCCGACAACAACCATGAAAATGGGCTTCCCAGAAAGCTTAGAGTCCAAAACTCAGTCTGCGGGGGGAGCAAGCAATGAAGCTGAAAACTGCAAACATACGGGGGTGCCTTGATCTCAGCTACGGCCAAACCATACATGGCCACTGCCACCAATTGTTGGTCCTGATGCGCAAGAGCTAAAGAGGGTTCACCGTTCGAAGATGTCTGCTTTTGAAGGGTTCACTTTTTTGAGGAGGTGCGTTTCCAAAACGATCCGCAAAGGGCTCACATTTTGGAGGAAGGCTGTTTCGCAGGCGAAACAAAGTCTGATGAGGGGTCGTTCTTTAAAGAAACCTCCTATCTCTGCACGGGGGGTCATCTTTTTGTTAAAGAAGCCTGTTGCCAAACCACAGAAGCAAAATCCAAAAGTTTCAACCTTTTGAACAAATCTACAAAAACCGACTCGCCGGGAAAGCCCAACGAGTCTTTGATCTTCATGACAAGGATGCACCATCACACGAATAAATTGGACAACCCAAAATGACAAACAATCCCAAGCTGTCAAGCTTTATCTAAGGCAGCACTCTAAAACACGGCAGGGCTTAGGGCATGCGATTTCGTGGCAGGCGCGGTGCTTTCTGTGTGTAGCAAGTAGACTGCCTGGAAAACGCGGAACTTTTTGGCTGGAGCTCGGAGCGGTTCACCCACTGATTCACATCGCTGTGACTAACTGACTGACTCCCCTGGGACTCGCGACTCGCTGACTGACTCGCTCGCTCGCTCCCTCCCTCGCTCACTTACGACGCACGCGCATGCACCCACGCACGCACTCATGCCCGCACGATGCACCAACTGACCGAGCGACACGACTGACTGGGCCTGGGAAAAAGCCACAGGGCACCCAACCAAAATTGGGTTGGCTTTTTGCGGTTCTTGTGTGAAACTTCCCGCTTTGTCCCTTCGGGTTTTTGATGTTTCCCACTTTCAGCGAATCTTTCCGGATGCCCAGTGCCGAGAGCGTCTCGCTGGGCCGCCCCTGCCACGTATTGCCCTCCCACGGCCATGGCCTCGGCGGTGCCACCCGTGCCAGGCGGATGGCACGTGCAACGAGTAAAAGCAGGGGACCGGAAGGAAGAAAAAAAAAGAAAAAAAAACACGGATTAACAAAATATATGTATTCAAGGTGGGATCAAGAAAAAGACACACAGGCCTGAAAGCACCCCCCGGTTGCTTGGATGAGCCTGTGGCTTGAAGTGCTTGATCCAACCAAGCCGTCGCAAGCCCCTGAAGGCGCTGGTGAACCCGTACAAGCAGATCAACCCGCTATCTGACTTCGAGGGAAACACAAACAAGAGGCCACATGCAAACACTGCGGACGTGACCTATGCTCAACATATCTCAACATACTGACGGGCTTCCAGACACACAATGTTTGACTCTCAGCAAGTGGCAAGCGCTTGCAGGTCTGAAATAACGGCGTGCACCTAGGGGGCTCCTGCCAACAGCCTCGTCCTTTCCGAAGGCAGCTTCACCTTCGATTTGAATGACAAATGAAACTCTTGATGTAGAAACTCTGCACTTTCATCAGCCACAAAAACGACACCGTCCCCGGCGTTGCGTCAAAAATCGTCGGCACTGGTATATGAACGCAACAAAAAAAGAAACCACGGGAATCCATGTTCAACCAACAGCGGCGACCTTATAAGGACACCGACTGTGCATGGATGCAATCCTGGGATGGATAAAGCCATCCCCGGTCGACATCTTTCAACTTCAACGGGGCCCCGTTACCAGACCAGATGCAGGCTGGGGATGAGGCAATACCCAAGACCAGAAGCGGCACAGTCAGCTCGAAGCCTGGCAACATTGATTTGTACTATGTGGCTGCTAGCTCAAAGAGGCGACTGCGACTCTTCCAGGTGTTGGGTACACATGAGCAACTGAAAACTAGTAACCTCAAGAACACATCTAAATTGCGCTCGGTGTACACCCAAATCGGAATCAATGGAGAATATAACTCAGCGAAAACATGCTCACTACCCAGAACCTGCCTCTTCTCCCAAACTCTCTTTGCCAATCCATGGAATCATGCTGTCCGAGCATTGGGCTGGGTTCAGGGGTTCAGATTTCTCGCCGGAAGTGACACGACTTGTCAGTGTCAGCTTCCCTCCAATTGGTGTTTGGATTGGTGGTTTGAAGGTTACCCTCTCCAGAATCAGGGGCTCACATCCCCAAACCACAATCCAAACCACCAATGAACGGTAACCTGACGATGGAGAATTCAGTTGGCCTCCTTGTGCTTCATAGATTTGTGGCTCAGCCCGTGCAACTTCCCAGGCAAACGAACATGATACAATCCTCGTTCGTCATCAAACTTATTGCGTGTGTCACACCATTCGGACCCGTTGCCCACATGGCTGTGTTCTCTTCGTTTGTTGGTAAATCTCTAAGGACATGTGTCCACGCAGTATAGTAGCTTGACCTGGAGAAGTATTGTGCGGATGAGATTGTTTTCATGCGCTAGTGTTTGTGCCGGATGGTCCGAAAACCTAAAGCAACATGTGCACGTTGTTCTGCGTTTCATTCTGTGGATGATGCAACCAAAATAGAGCCTTTCGAATAGCCGACGTCAAGTGCGTCTTGAAGCATCACGTCAAAAAAAAGCTTCGGAACGACGACATGACATGACGCGGTTTCCTCACACCTTACTACTAAATGGCTGTGTCTCAAAATGCAGATTTGGAACTAAGTTGCTGGGTTCCTTTCTTATTTCCCTTTAAACCCCGGCAAAAGACGGGTCTCCAAACCCACCACCTTCTCATGTGGATAGACAAACTGCTGCACCAGTTGGTCGGTGTCTTCTCCAGGTGCTCACAGATTTCATCCATTCTAACAGAGTTTTTGCGATCAGCAGGAACCCAAAATACCTCTTGGGTCTGGTTTTCTCATGAAACGGGGTGGCCCTCCATGTTGGCCCAAATCAGGGGTGCTCCGAGAATAACATGTTCAGGTTCTGGTCGAAATTTAGTCAACCTTGAAGTAGCATCATTTTGGAGAACCCCGAATACTGTGGATGGGGTTCTAAATCCGCAATTGGTTCGCTGGTTTCTTCTTCACATCCGCGTCTCATCCATCGGATTCGGTCACCTAGAGTGTCCTTCTTGGGTCTCTTGGTGGAAGAATCAGTTGAGGGTTTTGCACCTTTCAGTTTGGTGGAAGAATCAGTTGAGGGCAAGATTCTGTCACCTAGAGAGGGTCTTGCCTTTCAGTTTGCTTCGAATCATTAGCCTTTGGACCCAAAAAGCTCGCCGCCCGGCCTGGAGCGCGGGCGGGCGGCGGCGGAGTCAACCGCCGGCATCTGGCGCCGAGGGCCGTGGGGTTTGGAGAATATAAACCATGATCCGGCAACGTCCAACCCTTGGTATGGTGAGTTACTGTGTTTTTGCAGCCCCCCCCAAAAAAACAAAAGATGATCAGAACCTAACACACACACACACACAAACACAATTCTGATTGTTGTTGTTAATGTTATTATCCCATTCTCGTGGGACAATCTGGTTCAATAGTACTCCACAACCCCATCTATTTGCCAGGCCCTTATAGTATGAGGCTTGGCGGGCATGTGCCATCCAATTTCAAAGTCGCAAGAAGAGCTTAGATTAGGATGGTGTGTTGGCTGCCACTATGCCACCAGTCAGGCATCACCTGATGGGGATGAACACCATAAGCATTCTGAAACAACCATGCCGACAGTGCCACTTGATGTCTAGGACCGGAAACCTCCTCCTGCCTGGATTGCTGACTTTTAACAGCGACTGCAAAGACTAAGTATGTCTTATGAAGAAAAACCGTAGCTCAGCCGTTCCATGTTGGGCGTGCCTGTCGACACCTAGTGGCCTAGTCAACTATCCTCAGGCGTGGAACGGCAGGAAAGGCATATGCCAGGGAAACGGGCACACACCGCCTTTGACCCCAACAGCATGCATGCATTCTCTGCCAGAATTCCGGACCTCGAAGGGGATCAGTCACAGGTGTGACTTATAAACATCTGTGCAGCCTATGTGATGGCTCAGTCACTATTTGTTGCCTTTGGGATTTTTTGTTTTGTGAGTTACCCCCCATTTTTACCTTTGGTATTTGGGGGCTCGTGTACCCCATTGGGTTGAAATCGTACAGGCGAGGGGGTGTTTTATTGGTATGTTGCGGCTTGTCATCTTCCTCCGTCAAGTCTATGATGGTGGCCTACGCGCCATGTGTGAAACCAAGCACGCCGCGTGGAAAGTGGCATCGGCTTTCTATCTGATTAACAGGCATGTACTTTTATCATGATGCATGCATATAATTGCCATGGCCCAATGCAGCCATTTGGCTCAAGCTTTTCAATCCGGCATTCAGTGCAATGTCATCCCTTTGTGGAGGAACATTCCACCAGGCCAACTTTTGGTGGGTC